GTGGGTTTATTGCGACGGTGGAGGCATTTTTTGGGATGTTAGACGGGCTGGAAACGTTTTCATTGCATGTGTAGATATTTGCGCAATAATGGGTATCATGAATGTGTGATGACTATTGATGTATGTACGATGAAGAGTACTCCTCGTGGAAGTAGTTGGATATTTCCGCGCATGGGTTCAACGTAGTGTGAAATGGCATTCAGCTTCTTGAGGCTCTTTCAAGCTCTTGTCATAGGAGAAAAGGAATAGCATGACAGCTTAGAGCAACAAGAATGGATATTAATATTAGAGCGGGTAACAATAATGCCCAGTCCTATAGTTAGATGTATCATGTCCGAAAAATCCAGTCATTGCATAGTGACAAAGTACCTGAAAGAGAAGGGTATTCGCAAAATATGTCCCGCATCAGTAGAAAGGCTGGAAGCATGTGCTTCGTTTGGCTACTATAGCCCTGAAAGCATAAGACTGGAAAGGGAACTGCAAGCAACCTCAAGAATATAAAAATAAATGAATTCCGCCGCACTACATGGAAAAAGAGAAAATCATGAATCCTTGCGGGCCGCGTTCTTACTTTTATCCCCGACCGGGTCAGCCATAGGCGAGGAGGCGCTGCTCTGGCTCTGACCGCGAACATGAAACCGATGACCAGGGATGGACGCGAACCCAAGGACTTTCTTCACTGCACCAGTGACATTGGAGCCTATTGATCTCCTCCGACTTGTGGGGCCTTCCGCTGACGGTGCCGACGTCGTTCCCGCTACTCTGCCACTTGATTCCACATGGGGTTGCGGCCGCCTCTTCTTGATCACGGGGACATCTTTGGTGATTGTAGGTTTTGGAGGCCATTGGCCCTCTCTTTTCCAGCCCACCACGAGAGAGCGTGTCATGTGTAGAAGGTTGACGGGCACCGCAGGGGTGTTGCCCTCGACCACCAGCTTGTTGTAGATGGCGAGGTAGTTGGCTGGGACGGTGTAGGACCGGAACGGATTGGAGATCGGCAGAATAGGCGGGACGATGGGGACTAGAGGCTCATCGATAACTGTGGAAGGGCCTTCTTGTGGAGCTATTGTACTTTTGCTCGTGGTATGGTCCGAAATTGGCGGTACAGAAGCTTGGTTCGAAGATCCGGCGTCTGCAGCGGGACCAGGTAGTGAATCGGCGGAAAGAAGGCGAGACAGCGGTTCTTCGACAGCTCCCAGGTCACCATTGTCATTATAGCTTCCGCCTGCGCTTTCATCACTGCTTGCCCGTTGCTCTGGCTCCGCCTCTGCAGCCTTTTTCGCAGGGACTCGAGCTCCGGTCCACGCGTCTCGCCGCTGCATCCATAAGCGTAGACCGTGATTCCACTCCATTTCTTCCTCGATCAGCTTCCGCCGTTTGCGTCTTCTCTCCAGCATCGCAGATTGCACCGCATCAGGCGACTCAAACCGATACGGATCGTTAACATTGCCCTTGAACCTATGCGCCGATTCCCGATCCGAGTTCGAGCTATCCTCATCGCGCAATCTCCATTCTAAGACATCTCTATCTTTGGGGACGGATGGCGGCGGCGTCGACTCCACCTCCGAGGAGGCTGACGACGAGCATGGTGCTGAAGAGACGGTTGCTGGCTCGTACGACCAGTCGTTGCGGACTACCTGAAGGAGGTACCGCCTGGCCTCTCTGCCAGCAGCTTCGCGGGCTTCCCTTGACGCCTCAGCTGCAGTCGGATCGGCCGTGCGCGTTCTTCTGTGCAGAGAGGCGAAGAGGCTGGGATGGTGAGGGTGCGGGTGAGATGAAGGCTCTGGGATATGGCGGGGCCGGTCCATTTTCGCGACGAGGACGATGAGTTCGGCTTTTTAGGGAGGATTGACTGACTGAGATGGCGCTGAACGACTCTAGATACGGGCGATATGCGTTGAAATGTCCAATAAAGAATGCATGTTAGAGGAATATGAAGCAAGGAAGCGATCCGCAGTCAAGGCTGTCTTGCCAAGTCGTGCAGAGACGGGAAGCCTGGCGATGCGTGGAAGCAGCAAGTCGAGATGGCCAGGCGGCGATAACTCGCGAACCAGTCACTCGCAACCCATCCAGCCCTCCGGCTTCACGGTCGAAAGCACAGAATCCGTGAAGGGTCGAGGATTCATTCTCGACAGGCATCTCGAGACTCGAGATTCCGATCAGTGAAGATGACGTCGGCAATGGATAATCCCTGAACGAGGCGTTCTTCATGCATTCAAGCAGCAACTGCGCTGAGTTGGGATCCTCGCTCCTTTCACTCTTCAATTCTCAACCTCGTCTATCAATTAACTACTAACATTCTATTGGATAGATAACTACATGGCCATGTCGTTGGACGCTGTGTCCCGATGATCTCATTGCGCGTTTACCTCAGAAATACAAACCCTGGAGCAGAGTCCCAACGCATCATCGATGGAGAGCCTACTGAACGCGGCTCTGGGGTCTGGATCCTGTGCCTCTTGCTGGGACTTTGGCCCTTTCCTGTTCCTTCCAGCCTGCGAATGATGTTGCCACGAGTGCCTTTGCTCTACTCCATCAACACTCAAAGAGCTTGAAACAAAAACCCACGGCTCGATCGGGGACACCATGTCTTATGAGGTTTTATCAGCGTGCCCCTTTAGACGCCTCAGGTCGATAACTCTTCCAGGTTGCCGTCAATCGGAAATGCCCCAGATGATGACTGCTGTCGAATGGCATCTATCCCTTTTCCTTTCTTTCTACCAGATAATACTGCTGGGATGACTTTTGGTGTTGGGGTTTAATTGATGTTCGAACGATGCCGCTTCGGACGCCTTCCCGCTTATGTATCGTATGCTTCATTGTGATGCTTTGACTAGATTTACGGCCATCTTTATATCCCGATCAAGCCTACCCGTCCTGTCGTCGTTCAACAGGGGTACTATAACTAGTCAACATAGCTTAAGGCAGAAGAAATACCTCGTAAATTGTTCGATATTTAATCAAGGAATATCAAGCGAACGAAATGGGGTTTGGATTAATTTATCACCTCATAGTTTACGTCAGGCAGGGTATCCGAAGGGGGCCGAATTCGCCAAAGCTAAGCTTCGTTACCTAGAGATACATGTCTATCACTTCAAATAAAAGTACAGTCTATAGATGCCCCGAATGGCCTAACCCTTGCGCCCCGACATAGATGCCCGACTTCGACGTTTCAAAAGCATGAGAGATCACCAACGCCAATAGATAGCCATTCAATGTCGAACACGGCCCGTTTCCGAAGTAGGTTCGGGCAGTCCCGGGGGTATAAAACCCCAACCAGCAGCCTTCTTCCGCCGTCCCTTGCGATCGCCATATTTCTCGTCGAATTTCCTGATCGCCGTGAGTGATGACATATCCTCACTGATTGACGCACTGATTTCTTCCATGGCGCGGTCAAAATGATGGGGTCGTAGGATTCGCCTTTCAGGGTATTGATATGGTTCGTCGCCTTCGTGTTTTGTCGCGGCGTCGTATTCCTCTCGGACGCATGCCAAAGCGGCAGCGACAGACATGTTTTTGAGATCCGAACCGGAGTAAAACGGAGTGCGGCGAGAGATCTCAGCCAGGTCTATCGTTTCATCTAGCGTCTCGCCCTTCAAGTGGATTTTGAGGATTTCGTGACGATCTTGTTCAGTGGGGAGGTCAACGAGAAGTCGACGTGGCAGGCGCCGTAACACTGCGTCGTCAAGATCAAAAGGCCGGTTCGTCGCGACCATGATAAAGGCTGATGTTTCGCTCATCCCATCCCACTCTCGTAGAAATTGGTTGATCAATTCACGGTGAGAAGTACGACTGCTGGCGCCTGTTCTCGAGCAAAAAATCGCATCCGCCTCATCGATGAAGACAACACAAGGACTCAGCTTTTTGGCCAAAGTAAAAATGGCTTTAACGTTCTTTTCTCCTTCACCAACGTACATATCGTAAACTTCAGAGCCGCTCACCTCCAAGACTGTTGCGCCGCTTTCACGCGCAACAGCCTTTGCAAGAAGAGTTTTCCCTGTTCCCGGCGGCCCATAAAGTAATAGGCCGGGGATCTTGTCGGTGGAGAGGACACCATACGTAAATGCGTCTGGGCGAACAAGTGATAGAGATGTCAGGGTTTTCAGCGCCTCCACTGTTTCTTTAGGCACATGAACATCTGCAAAAGTGGTGCGTATACCCTCCGCGTCGACAACTCCGTTGAGCAGTTTCTCTTCATGCGAGTTACATTTCAACTTCGACTTATTGAGACGGGGCTTGTCCTGATTCTGTTTCCCAGGCTTGACCTTGCCAGGCTTATCGCCCATCCACTCACACTTAACTTGGTCACTTTTTTCAAAAACCTGAATAGCCTGTTGTATATGTCGAAGTTCTAGAACCTCATTTTTCCCAACACAACCAAGAGCAAGTGTTGCGATACGATGGATAAGATCAAATGGCCAATATCCAGCATCAAGGCCACAGGCGCGGACCATCGAACTCTCCAAGGTCCACGTTCGACCATTGAAAAGATCGCTCTGAGATGCAATGGGTTGAGCCATCCTCATTTTGAGCATGATTTGTAAATGCCTTATGTTTATTCCTAGGGTCCGTTGCTTCGCATCTTCTGCAAATATGCGCTCGGCAGTACTGGAATCCATTGCTGGCGTAACAAATATAGTTGTCGAATAACGGTCAAAGTCCCTCGGTATTAATTTAGGGAACGTTTTCGCCGGAGACTTATCACCTTCCTGTGCAGATACCGTTCCAATCACAACAATTTTCTGTCCTTTTCGTCTTCTAGCCTGGACAGCTTTGTGAAGAGAAGATAAAAAGGCAGAACCACCAGGGGTACCCAAAAGGTCTTTGTAATCTTGGACTTGAATAATTAAATCCTCGTACTTGTCACTTATATTCGAGTTCTCGGTTTCTTTTTCTTGGGGGGGTTCCTCTCCAGGACTGGAATTTTCTGGCTTTGCTTTAGGAATTGACAAGAGTTTCTTGACAACGCGAAGGGATTGTGGGTCTACTTCTTCATTACCTTCTCGCCCATGAGGTACGACAACCTTAGCGACGCCAATAGATCCGCGTCCGCCAAATAAACCTTGTAATATGGACGAACCTAAAGCGGTAGGGTCTGATATCCTCGAAATAGGAATTGTAGCGCTGCGTCTTCGATCTCCTGATTCGTCCTCATCTTCTGCTTCATCTTCCTCAAACTCCTCGATTTCCTCGTCAACCTCTCGCTGGGACACTTTCCTGGAGGGATGATATACATCGTATGCCAAAGACGTCATTAGGCTCGAAGGAGAGTCCTCCTCCTGCTCTTGCTCAGCGTACAGCTCAGCAATATCTTGCGCATTCAGTGTAATGACATGGGTATTGAAACTGCTAGCAATCTTCCTTACAACGGCATCGAGAAACGAGATCCCCCCATCTCCAGGATACTGTAAGACCAGATGTACCTTTCTCATAAACGGGTCATCGGCATAGCGAGGAGCAGGTACTGTCATACCCGCTTGAATGGCGGCACGAATTTCGTTCCACACCTCTTCGCTTATCATATAACGATATTCCGGTTTTGAATCTGCCGGACCTTTACCTTCACCTCCATCACCGCCGTCGCCTCCGTGCGTAACCGCTTCCACTGGTTCTCCCATATCCTGGTCATATTGGCCGATCCCGACGGTATGAGGAGGTTCCTGTAGGACTTCTGTTGACTTGTCTGAGAGAACGATATTCCGTTCGCGAAACCAGGTCGGTAGGACTCCTAGAGGCGTCGATCGCCCGATAGATTTTTTGTGCCTCCTAGATCTGCGAACCGCAGATCCATAGGGACTACCATCCCCCTTCAAAATAGATCTTATTTGGGGATTAGCACCTAGTTTTGGAGCCTCTTGAGGCGCCACGTCGTGTTTGGTTTGTGGCCCTACATTGGGCTCGATATCGTTCTTTGGAACATTATCGCCTGCGGAAGGGTTTGGAAACCCTTGAGGGTCTCCGTGAGATGTCCTCAATGAGCGTGACGTCTGAAATGCGCGGATAGATTTGGGACAAGGACGACATTGAAATCGGCTTTTGTGAGCTTGGCGCAAGGAGAGCCGTGCGCATTGCATGGTGTGACCAGGGCAGGATCGAGAATTTCTGCCACTGGGCTAAAATTTCCTCCTTGTGGACTGCCGGGAAGACACATGCGTGTCTTTTTTCGTGACGACGGCTGCAGGATCGGATCGAAAACGACTTTGTTTGCCTTCGTTGAAAGTCGATGGCTGAGAAAATGATGCTTATGTAATGAAAGAGTAACTAGTGCGGTAATACGTTTACCCGGAGACTAGCGTTAGGTACCTACCTACACTCAAGGTCATCGCGCAAAGAGTTACGGAGTAGATGAAGAACGGATAGCAAAGGTTGTGGGAGCCGTGGGCGACGCAGAGGGAGCTGGCATCGAGCTTTGCTTTGACACTTGATGTAGATTTGGATTTTCAAAATATTTTTAAGCAGATTCACAGATATCATTCTTCATTTCTTAATTTAATCTACCAGAAAAACGACAGTATATAGTAGAATGTCCCCTGTTGCGACAATCCCAGACAACTTCGCAATCCGAGACCAACAGAGTGACTTCAGGTATTATAGGCTAGTCTTTAGCACTTGGTGTTGCGTATCCCTCCAGAAGTCATCCAACGGCTTCTTCCATGCCCTCTTTTGGTTTTGAGCGCGGATAGAAATCTCAATCACTAGCAGCTATTAGCGTGGTCCGAAGCAGTTGTATGAAAACAAGGTAGAGTATAGATAGATTAAAATCAGACGTCCAAGGTAGGCAATGCGCTCAACGACACGTCGGTTTACTAGGTTCATACGACGGCTAGCGTGGAAACTGCGAATGAAGGAAAAGGTTTCATCATGAGAAGGAATGGTAGTATAGAAAAAAAATATCCAACTTACATCCAAGCAATAGCCTAGATACTAATCATTTTGAAAAATTAGTAAACTGAAACCTAAAGAAGCTTCAGTGGAGTTAGCAATTGGATTGAGAATGTGCAAAGGCCACCCTCTGTTCTATCAGGTCGAGTTTGGATCAGACAAAAGTACTGGCAAGTATCAGACCAACCGGGAAAGGGAGGTCCGAGTTTTTCTTCAAGGTCGATTCAGTGGTAAAGAAGAAAAAGATGGTTGTCATCTTGAAGATCAAGCTGGGTAGAATGGAGGCAGTAGATGTACGAACCTTTAATATAAAACTATCGATCTCAAGAAAAAAAACATTGAGACCACAAAAAGCATCTCCTCAAGCGGAGAGGGTCAAAATCATCGCACACACGATTGCTGTGTCTGATACCTGAGCTGCTGAAGTTGGTAGGAGAGTGAGAAGGAGGGAAGAAAAATTGCAGCACCAGAAAAATAAATACCCAGGCTCAGCAGCGCTATGCCGTTTGGGTATTAGTGGTAGTATTATGTAACCTATGTGCCAAATCCAGCTAATTAAGCGAGTCCAGAATCAGACGCCGCCCAATCGCTTATTCAGCCACACGTGATTGCTCCTCTCAATCTGGGTTAGCTCCAGATCTCACGACGTCCCATCGAAGGCGCTTTGCGGTGATCAAAGGGTTCGACATGTATGCTCTCCATCGCTTCGTTCGAGATACCCTTTCACCTGGCTCTATCTTATCCTAAAACGCGTGTTCTAATGCTGGTCAATTCCGGATGGTCGTGCCCTGTTGGTTCTAATTTATAGAAGGTAACTCTCACCACGCTCCATCCTGCCCCTCACGACTTTGCTTGGTTGTACCAGCCTCTTGAAGATTAAATAGATTGGAATCTGCGCTGACACAGGTCGTGAAGGTTTCCTCGGCCTTGAAGGCTGAAGCGAAAGGACCTTTTATTCCATGCTGGAGGTTACCTGCTCTCCATAGCGATATCGGCGGAGATACACTATCCTGACAGTCGCGCTATCTGTCACGTCTGTGATTGGGCCTTTTTCTGGACCCTCACGATTTCACTTTATTCATAGAGGAGGTTCGGTCACTCTGGCGCGCTCAACATTGGAGGATCGCGACGTTAGCGTAATACCTCGACAGAAATGATGATGGCGCAGCCATTTCCGGCCCATCAAGTTGGCATGACACACCATCCCGGATTGGCACCAGGGCACCCTATGGCTCCGGGCCAACACCCGAACGCAGCGCACCTTGCGGCACAACCTCCAGGAGCAGGAATGGTTCAGCCACTCCATCCGGGTGTTTCTGCACCGGGAGCGCCGCAAGGTACTCAACCGACTCCGATGGGCGCGATGCCACAAGTAGTCGGAACTACCGGCCCTGGCGGACCGGGCCCGAGTGCCTCATGACATGTGTCACATCTAGGCCCTACGCATTCTCATCAAATGTTTC